CTGTGGACCTAATATTAACTCACTGGCCTAAAGATGATCCTCATTTTCTTCCTCTTTAATGTAGGTACATCAGGCACAGCAATGCATGGATCACGATGCTTTAACTGCACCATATTAAACTCATACTCATAGGGCCGGATTTATCAAGATCCAATTTTGCGTGCAGTAATTTGCGTTCGCAAACTGGAATTTTGCGCGAGGGGCTGAACCATGGTTTGCGGGTGATTTAACAAGAGCGATTGCGTAACTGGTGGCAGGTGCAAAACTGTTGGAGACGCCCTATTTAAATGATGGTCTTGCACGTTTTGTGGTTTGCGGCAAAGTAGTTTGTAGTTTGTGCAAACTAGTGCATTAAGAAATTTTAATCTTACAGTGACACCCCCATGCCCTCCAAAATATATATATATATATATATATATATATATATATATATATATATATATATATATATATATATATATATATATATATATATATATAAACTTTGGCAACCTTTATTCCCTAAGGTGGTATGTGGATGAATTTCTACTTCACTGCAGTAAAAAAAAAACGAAAAAAAAAAAAAACTGCTGTTTTGTATTGGCCTGTAGAAAAATGCACATACCAAATGGCTCACAAGAAGCGACTGTGGATAAGATGACTGCGCGTATGCATCCCCGCAGCATTGGCATGTTGCTCCACAGGCGCAAGGGGGTGGTCGGGGTTCTCTCCGGTAGGGCGTCAGGGCGACATGGCATTTAGAACGTCGGACAGCACTTCAGAAAAACGAGATTGGGAGATCCCAGATGCAAAAAAAGTTCAATGTTGCAAGGAGTTTTGTGATATCTGGTATTGCGTGGGTCCTCCTTGTGGCTGGCTCCAAATCCATTCTGAGTTCCCCCAACAGCTCCAAAATGGCAATGCTGGATAAACGATATGTTTTGATGATCGTTTCCTCCTTCATTGCAAAAATATTCACACGGAGTGAAAAAATGCGTTCTCTGCGTCTCCTTGTTTCATTTCGATGTCTCCTTCTTGCGACAATAACCGCTGCCATGTGTGCGCAATTACGCATACAGACCATTTGCACCTTCTTTTGAAACGTGTTAAATATAGAGTCAGATACCGTTAGCAAAATTGCTTTCAGGTTTGATAAATCACTTTGCGAGTGCTAAATTAATATATTTACATGTTCTCCTCCCACAAGACGCACCTTTGCGTGTAAACGCCCCATATTGCATATTCATTGCAGGAAAAGTACTAAATGGATAAGAGGCGCTATTTAGCACGTTTTAAAGACCAAATCCTTTTAGCGCGCTGTTGATAGATCAGTTTGTACATTTTTTAGCGTGCGCAGTGAAATAGCTCACGTTTTTATACACGCAAACGTTTGATAGATCCGGCCCATAGAGACAGATATGCATGTAGACTTGTGCACAAGCTTTTATGTCCTTCAGTTATTGTGCAGAATTTCTGTAGCTTAATTTATTATTTTAATTTATGCTCTCATTATATTTTTTTCTTTGTTTTGTTTCATTATCCTTCTTGTAGTAGGTATTATGTAGTTTTATTTTATTTTTTTTCTCCCTCCCCAGTCATTTTCCTTTTTCTCTATCTTATTCATCTCTCTATTCTTGAAGTCATGTCTGGTGGCCATGCTCAATTAAGTAAAATAAAAATAAATGAATACATAAACAAATAAATAAAAATTTCAGCAGGATAAGTATTTTCAAATACCAATTTGGGAGGCAAAATATTTCAATGTGAAAGCTTGCAGTGAATCTTCATTGAATGCTTATGTTGCTAGACAATTCATGTAAAAAAAAAAACAAAAAAAAAAAAACATAAACACTATACTGATGTACTTCACAAATAAAAAGTTTTGCTGAAATGAAGACTATCTTAATTCAAAAAGGCTGCACATTTCCGCCACCAGAAGATTAAATTGTTACAACAGCAGCTTACTGCTGTTGAGTAGTTGGAACTTTGTAACTTAAAGAGTTTTCTTCCAGCCAACTAGAGAAAAAACTTTACAAAATTATTACCAATCAAAACCTGAAGAAGGAATTGAAGAAAAGGTGAGATATGCTAAGAAAAGAAAGTTGCCATGTAGAAGAAAAAAAAAAAAAATACGCAGAAAAAATTAGAAAATAAAGAAGGTAGAAAGAAGAAAATACTAATTAGAATCATTTGGACATACAGGACATAATTAAGAACCATTTCTTGATTGCAAAAGCAGAGTATAGGGAATTATACCTAGGAAGGATGAAACAGTAGCAAATGTTATATTGCAATGTCTAAAATATGAACATAAACTAAATAAATACATAGACATTTAATATAAAAGACACGTTGCAAAGAACTGGAGCAAACATACAAATTATTAATTCATATACAAACACAAAAACTGATAAGAAATCTGATTTTGTGTTTAGCTACACATATACATACATTTGATATGCAAAATCAAGATGATCATGTTAAATTGTTGACATTATTCAAACGTGTATACGAGGTTATTTTTACAACCAAATTATGACACAAAAAGATATTTTAATTGATTTAAATCGCCTTATTTTTTACATTTTGTTTTATTCTTTTTTAAGTTGTTCATAAATTATAAATTATTCCATAAAAGTTCAAGTTTGAAGGCGTTTAATTTCCCATCTAGGAAACTTTTTCAATACCTGGATGGGAAGCGAAACGTCCTCAAACTTGGAAAACAAAGTGCAGTGGATTTTTTTTTTTACTTTTTGAATGACTATGACCTGGATCTTTACCAGCAAACTGGAAATTACATACACAAATACTATATATTATAATACTAATGTTAAATAATACTAAATATTATGTACATATGAATTTAAGCAAATGTATAATTTAGTTATGCAATTTAAAATAATTTTTTTAGAAATAAAAGATTACCTTGCCATCTAGTAGTTCATGTCATCATGCAGCAGGTCTGCTATGAAAAAGATTTTTTTTTCTTCCTCCTATTTTCTTCCTGTAATTATATCATTCGTAATGCTTTGTACCTAGGGAAAATAGACAAAGGTACAAAAAAGATAGCAGGATAAAGAATATTAAAGGGTGAGAAGGCAAAATGAAAGAGAATTCAAGAGATAGAGATATACATCTCAGTACAATCCCAAAGAGGTTTGTGGAAATTCTCCAACATTCAGCTGTTTAATTATAGAAAGGTTCTTAAAAGGAGCATTTGCTGTTTCATACTGCACCACCAGGAAGAAAAAGACACTATCACTTCTTTTTTGCATATATTTTACAACCAAATTATGACACAAAAAAAAATACTTTAGTAAATTTAAATCGCCTTTGGAAATTCAGGGGATTTACGCATCTTCTGTGGAAAAACAATGACATATGTAATTCATGTAAAACCCTGTTTAAGATTCAGATCTCATTTGGAAGAAGGACCGCAGCAGAAAATGTGCACCTGGAGGAAAGATGTACGGATTGACAAATTAACCCATCAACAGATTAATGCTGATGTATTGTGTTGTCCATCCCAATTGTGTCATTTGGGTCTCTTTAATTTTTTTTTTATTACAACTACCATTATTTTACAGACTGAAATATAGGGTTATTATTTCTGTAAAAACTAAACACTTAGGAACTTTTACAAATGCATTTTCTGAATGTTGGGATCAGAGGAGTCAGATTTTACGCAAATTTATCATTTTACACAATATATATTTTAAAAAGAACTGTCTCCACTGTAGTGAGCATAAAATAACTGGAAAAAATGTTCTTTAAATTTTGGTTTGGATAATAAAAAATTAGTTGTTCAAGCTTCTAAGAAAAGAAAGCGGCCAGAGAGGGGATAGAAACATTTGAGGTAAAAACAACTTGCATTGTAACTGCAATTGTTTTGTATTTGAGCTTATGCGAAAAGTATGGAGTGTGTTTCTTTGTATTTGGTTGGAAACATGTTAATAAACTTAGGCTCTTGGTAAGGTAATGACTAAGATAAATCAAAATGGAACAATTTAGAAAGAATAACCAAATAGAGGTGAATCAGTAAATTGAGATACGAACAAGATACTGAGACAGAGGATGGAGGAGGGACAAATGCCGTGATTAAGGGAGGCATATAGATAAAGAAGAAAAACACTGAGGGATAAAAAGAACCTTAGAGAGGTGAATGTGAAGAAAAAGAAGAGGAAATGATGAAAGGGGAGCCTTAGTAAGGAAAATAAAGTAGTAGTATTAACAGGGGAATCATGTAAAAAGGACAACTGGAATAGGAAAAGGGAAAAGAGAGTTGAGTAGTAGCGGTTTGAGGATAAAAATCATCCAGGTTACTTTGGTGGGTTTTAAAGGAAAAGATGAAATAAGGAGGAATGGAAAGAAGAAAGAGAAGGAAATTATGTAGTGACTGACAAAAAGAAATAAGGTTGTCAAAAAGGCTAATGGAATGAGGGAATAATTACAGATGAAGACAGGATACATAATACAAAAAAGTAAAAGCAGATTGATGAAACCTTTTTAAAAAGCCCTGATTATATTAGGAGGAACTACGCTATACTAATACTAACTGAAAACAGCGAACTATATATATATTGTTAACTCTAATATTAAGGAATAAACTACTGTCTAATACAGCATACCCTGTTTCATTTTGTTAGCAGGCATTATTCTGAAAAAAAAAAAAAAAAATACTTTCATAAAAGCATCTGCTGTCACTCCATTGTCTTCTTTCTGTCACACCTTTTCCCACCAAAGAACATCGTGGGAGGCATATCCGTGTTGTGAGAATCAATTTTAAAAGACATTTTATACCAAGAAGGTCTGGCACGTATCAGAGATCAAAGAAAATCAAAGTGAAAATCAGGGCAGGGAAACTCCAAGCAAAGCAGATAGAATTTTTAACCAATCCCACTGTCATAGTAATAACGCCGCTCCTTTGTTTTTTAATGTGCTTATGTGAAGTTTGGATTAACCTTACTCTTTGTTTCCTCCCCCACTTTGTGTCTTTTCCTTTTCTTTCTCTCTGTAGGGTGTGGTTCCAGTCAGGCATAAACTTCCTCGCTGTGAAACCCAGCAACCTCGTTGCGTGGGAGATCAAACAGGAAATGGCACCGGGAAGCAGTTCGTTGGCAGTGATTTGTCAGAGAAAGGCCTCCTCCACAGCTGAGAGGTAGAACTGAGTCATTTTTTTTTTAACACCCCCCTGTCAACCAGCTGCTGCTTTGCCCGTCGCTTAAAAAGCATTTATGGGTGCAGAAAATGCCTCAATGCACTCTTTGATTAATCTACTTACAGTAGATAGCACGAGAGTCATAGCAGTCTGTATTTAAACAAAACAAAACACAGGTATTTAATGGGGATGGACTATTTCAAATAAACACTGACCAATAATAAATACACACAGATAATGATATGCAGGAAATGCACAGAGATTTCGTTCTGAAGTCGAACAGTACCCTGAAAGTCAGCTGTAATAGGGAGCCTGGTTTTGAAACTAATACAAGCATTTATCAACATTTATACAGTATATGCATTCCATTCAGTAGCACTAAAAATACAATTTTGATGTTGCAACAATTATATTTTGTTGAGAATATGGTTTTAATTAGGACACTAATGTTTTTCTGAAATTCTTCAACTTTTAACTGAAAATTAAACAGATCAGAGGCTATATGATTGTTAAGGAAGACATTTGTAAGCCATTTCTGAAGTCATAATTTACAATAATTCAGTATTTTTAATTATACTCTAAATGTTTCCTGAGTGCCTAATTGTTCATATACTTCAGCTTTGTCTATCAGCTCTGCTTTTCAATGTGCTTTAATTTACATATTTTTTTTACACATTTAACACTGTAGCATATCTGTGTTTGTGCTGAGTTATTCAAGGCAGCCACATCCATCTTCATGCGCATTAAGATTCACTCTCCTTTGTATGCTGAATGCTTGAACTAAAGATATGGGAAAAACAAAACAAAAACTAAAAATCTCCAAGCTGTCTAAAAGTTTATATAAAAATGGATTATAATGATATATTTTTAGGATTTTAAGTAGTGATGTGTATTACTTCAAATGTTTTTTTTTAGGTTTGACTTTTTTCTATTTTCCAGCCATACCGTTCATAGCAAATATCAAGGCCAGCTAAAAAAAAAACAAAAAAACAAACAAAAACAAAGTACATTTGAAGAAACCATAAAGACAGAATTTACTTATCCATATTATTAAAAAAGCTTTTATAAATACGAGGCATTGTGGATATTATCTCAAAAAGGTACTGCTGCTTAGCCAGGTTTTTGTTGTTTAGATTTACCATTGTCTGGTAACCAATGAAACTCACCATATAACCTGGAATCTTCAAGATTTATTTTCTGATTAAAGGAAAAGTCCGGTCAGCAAGGAATAATCAATGGATCATTATATATAACTAAAATGAATATGTTTGCAGTAATTTAATTAATTTAGCGTTAAAAAACTCGATCACTGAGTTGGGACCATCCATTTTTGCCCAAATATAGTAACACGGTGTGGTAAGCCTAGCGCCATTCTCCCCGCTTTACAAACAAATCAATGGGAACTACAAGACACATCTGCCATCAATAACAATTATTTAAGATTTTGAGAGCACTTCACCACTGAAATTCGCAAGAGCTATACTTAAACTGACAATGCCCACGTGCATGGTAGTTGGATGTTGTAATACATCGCGTAAAAATGAAAAAAAAAACACTTTTCCGATTTATGATCCTCCACGGACGGGTTCGTTGTTGTATTGTCAACTTGAACAGGGAGGATTTGCCATTGAACTTCTGGCCTGAGAAAAAACACATTATATGAAGTGAATATTTCCAAGAAGAATGTTTTTGATTTGATTTGGATAATAGCGCATTGTGACAAACTTTCAGAAGTTTGAAGCTGAATTTGGCTGGACTTTTCCTTAAAATTACCAAACTTGCATGTTATGTTCAAATAAAAAATTGGTTGGTCTGGGATAATTTGAAACACTAAACAAGATCATTTGTGCTAAACTTTGTTATCTAAGTTACAGGATTTTTTTTTACATTGTTATTCTAGTACACATTTGCATGTTTGTGCAAATTCACAATGTTTGGACTCGGGTCCAAGTTCAAGGAGTTAAATTCAGGAAAAAGAAAGTGAAAGAGATGAAGCTGAATTAAGGGCAGCTCCAGTTCAGCAGTAGAAGAGCTGTAGGGTAGAAGCTGTTGCTGAGCCTGGTGGTCTTGCTCTGAATTCCCTGGTAAGAAGCTGAAACAATCTGTGTGCAGGATGGGTGGGGGCCTTTATAATGTGGAGGACACTTCCCCTGCATCTCAAAGTGAAGATGTTGAGGTGGAGGGAAGGCTGCTCCCTACAAGCCTCTGTGTAGCCTTAACCACCCTCTCCAGAGAAGCAGATGTAAGAAGATTCTTGTCCCTTTTGAAATCCACCAACATATCCTTCGTCTTCTTCGCATTGAGGCAGAGGTTATTGTCTCTGCATCAGCTGTTTAACCTCTTCTCTGTATTTGGATTCATCATTGCTTGTGATGCGTCCCACTACTGCTTTGTCATCTGCAAACTTCACTCTACATTACACTACCGATGCAGAGGACGGTCTGAGCACAGTAACTGGGATAACTGTTGAGTATAAATGGAACGCAACTGAAATGGACCATGCCAGACACAACAAACCACGCTAAATCTAGCACTAGTTCAACAGTAGGGCTAAACACGGTTCAGTTGTGGCTTTAAATTTGAGCGGAGGATCCAGGCACAGAAGTTCCTTAATGTAATGGGCGCTGCCATTTTTGATTGAGTAATTCCTGCCTTGAGAGCTGTAGTATCGTGAACTGCCAATAGGAGGGGAGGAACAGTGCTAGCGTGATGTGTAAATGGTTGTAAGAGCCAAGATTGGCACGGTTCACTGATCCAAGCTCGGTCCGAACTCGGCACGGATCGGTTTCAGAGGGCTAGTGTAAATGGGACATATGCTGTGGTATCCTACAATCATACGTCATCAAAATAAACAGGATGGGGCACAGCATGCACCCCTGGGGCAAGCCAGTGTGGGTGATGAGGGAGGAGACAGTGTTGTAAATCCTGACCATCCTTGGTCAGGAAGCCCAGGAACCAGTTCCCCCGTGTGGGACTCAGCCCAAGAGAGGAGAGCTTCTGCCCCATGTCTGAGGGAGGATTGAGTTGAAGACTGAGGAGAAATCAAGGAAGAAAAAAACTGATGTAGGAGTGTCTGCTCTCCTGTAGGATGGGGGCTGTGTTGACCAAAAATTGGATACTGATATTGATGTGGGTCTACACTTATGTTGTTGGAGTTCTTGATCTGGGTCATGACTATCCTCTCAAAGCTGTTCATAACTACCAAATTAATGTTATACATTTACAGTAGCAGCCATTCAAAATGGCCCTTCCCAGTAAGACGCCAGCCGAATGTCAGCCCACTTCCATCCAACTCCCAGCGAAATCCTCTCCAACTTCCAGCCACTGGAATGACCCCCTCTTGCATATTTTCTTTACTTGGACTCCACCCTTTCTCTGAATTACAAGAGATGACACTTCTCTTTAGATCTTCATGTCCACAAATCATGACAGAAAGAAGATTTTAGTTCAAATATTTGAACTGAACTGTAGGGGACAAGCCAAGGACTAGCCAAGGGCCTATGAAGGAAATATTTTTGAATGGACTCTACTGTAGATAGATGCTTCTCATTTCCTTTTTCTACTCTTCTATTTCCACATATCTTATCTAATCTAATTGCTTTAAAACTGTAAGAATGATGACTTTCTTTTACATGAAGCGATTAGAACAACACTCCTGTTCAATTGGCATCACTCAGTTAAACATTAGCCATGTCTATCCTTTAAGCGATCTAAAGAGGTATTTAAAAAACAGCAGAAAGACTTTAAACAGGTTCAAAAACCAATCAGGTAAGAATATTATAACACTGATAAGGGAAGTAAATGACTGATTATTATTATAAGATTATTATCTTTTCATATGGCAGATTAAACACATAAGTGAACATCATGTGTTTAATCTGATGTGTTAGAAGCAAGAAAATTAAGCAAATATAACTATTTCAGCGACATTTAAAATGGTCTAGCTTTATTAAAGGAAAGTAGTTTACTATTTGTGGATAACTTAGCATGTGAAAAACTTCTTGCATCTGGAATGAATATCTTGTAGGTGGAAAGTGAAAGGATAATCTGTATTTTTTATCCCTTAGACAAGCTGTTGTAGAGCGAATTGCTAAAGAATTTAGGGCTGAAAGCCTTATTTGTATTTTATTTATTTGAATAGGGACAATGCACATTAATGAACATCAGTATAAAAACAAATGTAAATATGCTGGATTATAGCTACAAAGCTAGTTTTCATCCGTAAGCGAATCTGCTAAGGCTAGCAGGGTTTCTACACAGACCTCTGTCAACCACTAAAATAAATTAAAATACTCTTGTCAAAATCGGACCCAAGGTGCATGGCATTCCAAGGAAAATATGGCATTGGGATGCACAGTGTGATAAAGTCAATCTGGGAAAAGCAGAATGATATTTTAGGGATTTCTTTTTTTAAGCTTCAGCCCTGCTATTCATGTGAATGGTATTGTGATATCTACCACTTAATCTACCCCAGTTCCAGACAAAGCTGTAATCCCTGATGGATACAGCCCCTTTTAGAAACATGATGCTCCCTGCCTCAAGATAAAGATAGGTCAATAATAATTGCAGTGGTACAACAATAAGTGTGAGGTTTTGATTCACCTGAACTCAGATTTGATTTGAGTGACAGATAACTTTGTAGGCCTACTGCTTACCTCTTTTGAGATACAATAGAGGACCTTTAGAAGTTCTAAAAAAGTAAAAAAACAAACCACTGGACTTTGTCTCCAAGTTTGAAGACGTTTCTCTTCCCACCCAGGAAGTGTTTTCAATTCGAGATGTCAGAAATAGCATTAAGTTCGAGGCTTTATACAGTGAACCAAAAACAAAGCCTTGTTTTGGCTAAGAAAACATGCACATTGAACAGGTCCGCCTCTTTTGAATGGAAGTCGTTTGGGTTCTTTGTTAGCCTGCAATACCTGATACCTGTCTATGTCTTTGAAAGGGGGGTCGTTAGAGGGAATTTTGGACATGGCTGAACACGCGAGATGTTCAAGTAT